ATCCTTTTATCCTCTCTATTGATTCTAGTTGATATTATTAATATTTAATACTGTATAATGTAATAAAATAAATTTTATAATTTCAAAATCGAATTTATTTATTAAACCAAGTATACTGTACATTATGTTATGTGAAAAAAAAAGACAAAAAGATGATGAGAAATAAAAGAAAAAGAAAAATAAAAAAAATAAAAAAAATTTACAAGAAAATTATATTAAGGTACTATATAAAATCTGTCTCTTATACACATCTTTTATTCCCTTTTTTCTTCTTTTTTTTTATTTTTTTTTTATTTCTCTTGTTCACTTGATAACCAACTCAAGCAAATAACATCCTACTTTGTTATTGATAAAGTCTGCTAATTCTAAAGGAGGAATTGGCTATGTCTTCTTTACCATTAAATAAAATTTTATCACACTATTAACAATTCTTCTTTTTCATATAAGATGAACGTGAGAGGTAAAGGTAAGAGATAGTAACTTATTGGATCTAGTATATTGAGATGTACAGGGATGTTGTACATATTAAATATGCGCAAAGTAACGTAATTATGCGAATTTCATTACCTTACGTTTGTTACACACTTAGCCAATCTATGATACGCGTTTGCTACCTGCCGGTTTTTAATGCTGGTCCATTTTATTTAAAGTATTGAGTGTATTAATAGTATTGAGTATAGCTTTAAATTATGAGGGACATTAGATAAAAGCATAAGAAGTTGTTCAATCATATCATTTTTTCATTTTTTAGTTTATTCCAATCCTTTTATCCTCTCTATTGATTCTAGTTGATATTATTAATATTTAATACTGTATAATGTAATAAAATAAATTTTATAATTTCAAAATCGAATTTATTTATTAAACCAAGTATACTGTACATTATGTTATGTGAAAAAAAAAGACAAAAAGATGATGAGAAATAAAAGAAAAAGAAAAATAAAAAAAATAAAAAAAATTTACAAGAAAATTATATTAAGGTACTATATAAAATTTACAATAAAAAAAATAAAAATTTACAAAATAATTAAACTAACTTAAAATAATTTCACATTTTCCTTTTATCTTTTTTTTTTAAAAAAAAAAAAAAAATACTATTTAATAATAATATTTATCATTCATTCATCATATACCCAAATTGAAGCTTCATCAAGACTTTTTTTTTTAAAATCATGTTTTGTAAAAGTGGATTTTTCTTCAAAATCTTTATAAATAGCATCATCTTCTTTCCTATTATTATACCAATCTTCTAATGTTTTAGATTGTCCAAAATAATAAATATGTTTTGGTTCAGGTTCATGATTACGAAAATGAATATGATGTAACGCTTCATAATCTGCTATATGATTTGCTCGATGTCTTAATAATGTTTGTCTACCTTTAGTTTGTGCTATTTCATATACTCCACTAAAAATAAAAAGAATGTAATATATATATGAATAATAAATACGAATAATAATAAATTTTTGTCTTATAAAAAAAAAATATTAAAATATTCTTTTTTTTTTTTAAAAAAAAAAAAAACTTACCCCATAAAAGCGATCAACATATTTTGTAAAATTATTACAAGAAAAATACTAGCGATCAAACTAACTAAATCAACAGGCCAAAAATCAAATGTATCTCTTTGATTCAAATTACCACCTATCCAAAAATATGCAGCTTCTATTGCTGTTGGAAAGAATGAAAAAGGATTATCTTCTTTCGATTTAGGATCATAAACAGTTTCAAGTTCGATATTAAATGTTGTATTTGTAACAACATCTGCGGCACTACCGATGTACGTCGTTTCTTTTATTTTAATATTCTTAGTATCTCTAAGTAAAATAAACCTATATATGAAAATAAAAGTTAAAGTTAATTTTATAAACGAAATGAATAAAATAATTAAGGTTTTTGTAATTACATTGTATGTGCGAATGAAAGTATAACAATTAACATAAATAAGAAGAACGGGAAAATTTTCTTGAAAATAATTATGACGTGATAGATATAGATGCCAATAACTATCAAGTAAAATAAAATAAGTCAATTAATAAAGTTATATGTAAAAATTATTTAATTTAAATCGAATAATTTTTTTTTACTTGATATTAATCGAAGGTATAAAATCTAAAATAATAAAATCTTGGTAAATATGTTTTTATATATAGATGATGATCAATTTGATCAATTTGCAAATCAAATAACCTACCAGTTCGATCCAAAGTATGAAAATAGAGAAAGATATTCCCGTAATTAATCCAGTATCAGATTCTACAACACTTCCAAAACCATCAGAAATTTGAAAATTTTTAAGCAATTTTGTCATTACCGTTACTGATAGTACAATGGAAATCATATCAAAACTGTTAAATATTTCATTAAAATATTTTTTAGGTCCACGATAATGAAACTGTAACAATTCAGTTACAAGTTGATAAAATGCCAAGTAATAGAATATAATAATTAATGTCATTAAAAATTTTTCATTTATAATAGTACTATGATTCAAATATGCCCAGCTAATTAATAAAAAGCAAATGGCGAAAATAAGAAATCGAAGAAAGAGAAACAAAAAGAAATACTTTGCTTCTTGCCAACGAAAATTAATGACTGCTTCAGTTGCTGGATTATCATATATAATGTCATTGTCCTCATATAGAATCATCCTAGAAAAAGGGCTCAACTTATTCCTCTCATTTCTACTGATTTTGTATGTTCTTGGTATAAATATTATCCACAAGATGTTTAAAATAATTTTTTTAAAATCGTAATTTGCTATTTTTTTCTTTGTAATATCGTTTATAGTAAAAGCTGGAAGAGGAACAACTCGCAAGGCTAACGGTGATTTCCCGAGATCATTGTCAAAGTCTTCAAAGTATTTATATATTTTATGCTTAAATGACAAATTGAATAAATTTAAAATCCGATCGTACCACTCATATTTATCAGATTTTAGTTTAACCATAGGCCTGAACGCTCTAAATTTGATATTATGATTACGTCTTTCTAAATATTCCATGGGAATAATTTCATCAGGATCTTGTGCTGAGAAGTGGTTTTGGTCCGCAAAACATTCTTTATTAAATAATTTTCTAGCGTAATCATCTATTTTATAATATAAAAATTATAAATTTCACAAATTCTTTCTGAATAAAAATAAATTGGAATTAAATACGAACCATAATTATATTTAAATAATAATGGAATTGCCCTAGAAATAGTATTCATCCAACCCGCACAATCCGTTGCATTTTTAGAATAATACTCCAAAAAATAAGCAACGATAATTGTATCTTTAAGTTCACGACCTATAAATAAAATGATGTTATTTCAAATTGGTAATAAGGTAATATACACAAATTATAACACCGTCTGGCCTAGCAAATCCTAATGCTGGCAGGCGACGGACTAATTGATTTTTTAACGGCGACTATTAATTTCTGCGCCATATGGTTAAGCAAAAAATTAATAAAATTAAACTTACCCTTGCAATGATAAATTGCCAATTCCATATTATTTCCTGGTTTGATTTCTTCATTATCTTCTAATTTGTTATCTTTACTATTAAATCGATCAAGGTCAAGGTCATCGTCCTTTAAAACTTTTCTCCAGGCCATAATATATTTCTTGGTATATGCCTGATTTCATCGCCTCCAAATAACGTATATTTTATCAAATGATTACTATCACCGAGAATTAAACTTTTTATGAAATTATATCTAAAATCTAACAGCATAAAATCTTTTGGTTTATGCTTAACAAACCTCCAGATTATATGTCTGATGTAAGAATCAATCTCCTCATACTTTTTTAAATTTAATAAGAGTAGAGATAATTTAATCATTTTGTTTTTTAAGGAAAATTAAATTAATAAAATATATTAAAATCAACTTACTTTATGTACTCTATTATAATTGTCTGCAAGATTTTTATTTTTATAACGCTTATTAAGATGTTCTAATGCTTTACAAGCATGCCTTACCGCACGAAAATTTTCGATAATATCTTTTCGCATAATTTTTTTTTCCCATCTTTTTACCTTTACGCTATTATTTATTATCTCTTCTTTTCTTTTCCCTTTTTCAATATCATCTATTTCATTGTTTTCATTTATCTCAATTATTTTTTGTTCTATTTTATCTATTTCATCATTTTCTTCCTTTATTATGTCACGCTCTTCCTTTTTTGCGTGTCCTTTCTTTTTTGTATTCTCCTCATCATCTTTTCTTTCATACCAATAAACTTTTAAAAGAAAATCATTTAATTTGTCATGTAATCCATCATTAAGCCCAAATTCAAATTTTTCAATTCGTAATCTTGTTTTTTCTCTTTCTTGATTTACTGGAATACGATTTGTCCAAATATATTCAAGAAATGGTTCTCCTTTGTTAGGAAGGTCATCTTTATTTTTACTATCGTCTTGGACTTGATGCCAAATTTGAACAGTTGATCTGCAAACAATAATTTGTAAAATTTCTGTCTTTGTTCCTTGTTTATTATGATACAGGCAATAAGAATTTCTTTCATAATCACCCAAAACCCATGGTTCTTTTTCAATAACTATTGGTTTGAAATTTGAAATTATATTTTGATCAAAGTGAACAGTATGACTTTCATCCGGATCTCCATTTAATTTTGTACCTTTAAATTTTTCTAAAAGTGGTTCTATAATTATTCCTAATTCCTCAAGATTTTTTTTATTTCTTTGTTCCAATTCATTCTCAATTCTTTTAAGAACTGATTTAACTTTTCCTTCATCATCAACTTGTAAAATATTTCCTGAAGTTCTAGCTAAACAAGTGTCAAGATTCTTTACACTAGGTAACATTGTTGATTCGACTTTTCCGGTATCATATAAATCCCAAATTACAAATTTCAGTCCTTCTTCTTGACCTTTACCTATAATAAGCAGTTTTTCGTCATTATCAATAAATTCTAATGAATAAATTATCTCTATTTCATTAAAATTTCTTGATGCGACTTGTAAACCATTTTCCATATAAAATAACCTAATGAAATATAAACAAAGATTAGATTATTAAGATAATTTAAGGATAATATGAACCACTTAGGCATTTACCTAATATATCTAATTCCTCTAGTAAAACAAAGTTGTAATCTACTAACTGCAAAGGTATCAAAATTGTACTGCTTTACGAATTTATTTTTATCTTCTACTCTTTTTGCAGTAGTTTCCAATCTCATTTTTGTTAGATCATATACTAAATGGAAAATTATTGTAAGTATATTTTTTACGATATATATAATGTTCGATACAATTAAATTTTTTTTTTTTTTTACCTTCAAGTGATTGTGCATCATTTTTATATTGTGTAGCGAGGAAGTATTTTCTATAAATACAAGATAAAAGTCGTTTCATGCAACCATCATATGAATGCCAATTATCAAATTCACGTCTAATTATTGTTGGATAATCAAACATTTCGGTCAAATTAAAAGAATCAAAGCTATCACTAAATCCAAAGTTATATATCCCTCTAAAATTCAATACTATAAATCTTTTTAAACTATTAAATTGATCAACGCCGTTTTCAGATTTAGATAAAGCGTCCGAATCGGTTTCTATAAAGCTACATATTCCTGAAACTTTATAAGAACGATAAGAAAATACAATATCATCTTCTAAATTTAACTCTTTTTTATCTTTTAGTATAAGACGATAAATGGCCGTTCCTTTTTTTTTTTCAACTCCAATCTTCAATTCTTTAGCTCGTCTGTTATTAATTGGTGGTTTGTTTGATTTTATATATTTTTTAGTATCAAGATTACCTTTTTTATAATCATGTTTATTATCTTCATCATTCTTTAATTGTTTCATGTCCTCGTCAATATCTATACGAGATACAGCGACAAGAATAATATCAACGTCATCTTGCTTTTGTACATTAGATATACCAATAGACCAACCAAATTTGGAACCATCAGCTGATTTATTATTACTTAAGGGATCATCATTTTCAAATAAAGGGGGAACAAAGTCATTACTATAAAACCTATCAATAGCAAGATCATCATCTATTTTAAAATGTGCTATTGTTTTATTAATCTCATCAGAATTAGAATTATTCTGATGGACAGGAATTTGTTGAGGAATATCAACCTTCTTGAATGGACGATGATCAGTATTTTCTACTATTCTAATTCGAAAGTTTGCTAAGAAAAAAAAGAAAAAAAAAATTAGCATAGGTTATATATACAACATATATATTCCAGAGAAATAAAGTATACCATTATCAAATGTAACAGCATATTTTCCATCCTGACAAATTGCAATTTGATAATCTTCTTTCTTCGTAGTTATATCATTATTATGAGTATAAATTCTTGTAGTGTTATTTTTTGGATTATTTTTGTTTTCATTAAGTAAATATTTTGTAATAAAATTCGACATATCCCTAAACCGATTACTACTAGTTATCAATTTCAATATTGTCAAATTTAAGTTTTTTTTTTTTTTTTTTTTTATATAACGAAATTTGACTTGTGGTATCGTGGTATCCGTGGTATCGTGGTATCACAACATCTGAATTAAGAAATATATGAATGGTGATTCAATTTAGTAATATCCTGAAAGAGATTTACATATTAGGAACACAATCACACAATCTTATATATTCAAATTCATCATAATGTTTACAAGTATTTTTTTTGTGTAAAGTTTATTATATTCTATCGATTCTTCTGTGTTGATAATTCTTTGGAAAAAGAAAATAAAGACTGCGGTTGTCTTTTTTTTTTTTGACGCATTTGGCTTAGTTAAAGTTTGATGAAAACACAGCAATTTTTACCACGGAATTTTACCACGGAATTTTACCACGGAATTTTACCACGGAATTTTTACCACGGTAATGAGGGCTAATACTAATTTGGGTAACGATATATTATTTGAGAGCGCAGCTATGCTTTCGTTACTTTTTCAGAAATTCTCCAGAAAAAAATATTTTGAAAACGTAATGAATACGTAATGTTAACGTATTACCATTTGTTTTGTTCAGAATTCTGATAATTATGGCTGAATATCCGTACCTAGTAACGAAACTTAAAAGCGTTAAATTATTGTTTTTCCTTACTTTTACAAGTTACTAGATTAAAACAATTAATACCTATATATACGCCATATATAGCAATTTATTCATTGTAAAATAAAATTTTAAAACGATTATTTACTTTATTTTCTTAAGAAGAAATTCATTTTGACAATAAGTATAATAAGTGTAACTATATGTATTTTTAAATTAATAATTATTTACCAACTAAAAATGGTAAGTGTGGAAAAATAAATTCCGTGTTTATTCTTCTCTTCTACTCTTCTATAAAGAATAAATGCAATTCAAAAAATAATACAATGACTTATAGGTGAACAAAGGTCGTACCACAAAAATAAATAAATAAATAATAAATAAATACAACTTAAAAACCGTATAAACCGATTAACCGGTTAAACAAAAATCGGTTAAATTACCATTCTAATTCAATTTTCTTGTTTTCATGTTTTCAAAAAAAAAAAATAAAATAAAAACAAAAATTATTTTAAGTGTTGCTAATTTTAACAGGGGGAAGTAAGGAATTACGTTAATTCTGGTACAATCCAGTTTTGAAACTTGGCTAGGAATTATGTAATTCTGCACACCTGTTAATTTCCCCCCGGTTAAATGTAGCTGGTAGTTATTCTTATTTTGAGTTTATCGCGCAGCAATTAAAATGTCACGTGATGGTAGCTTATTGGTAACAAGCACTTCTTTATTGAGCTCAGTAAAAAAATTATTACATCAAGCATAACACAAAGAAGTGCATAGATCGAATATATGATAAATATATACATATATACCAACATACGTTACGTTGTGGCACTATCTAACGTCCATAACCGTTTAGGCGGAAATTCATCAAAAATTTTGGTGGAAAGAAAAAGTAACAACATCTTTAATATTCTAAAGGAATAAAAGTTTCATGCAGTAAATCCATAGAAAGTATTTTTGAGAAAATCTTTCTCTTGGTTTATCTGGCGAACTAGGATGTAATTATTTATTCGTTAAATAATTCGAAGGTAATAATGTGGAATTTCTACAAATACTTTTAAATAACTGAAAACAAATGTTCAAAATACATTATTAAATGACATTATTAAATGAACCAAATGATACCAGTTATAAATACTTATGTATAATTTTATTCTTAAATAACACGCGCGGTTATAAAGAAAACTATACGAATTAGTTTCCGTAACTGCGAAATTTTAAACTCCCCATTTACCATAATAATTGTTCAACTTTTTTTGCTTATCCTATTTTTCTTATAATATTCTGCATATGTGATGAATTTTATGGCATATAATTAAGTTTTAATAATTTTAGTGTTTACTAATCTTGCAAAAAAAAAACGCAAAATAAAGCCACATCTAATAAAAATGCGATTTTTTTAGTTTATTCTTTTTCCTTGAGATTTTTTACATACATAGTATGATTTTTATGAAATAAAAATAAGCTTTCGCGAATATAGTGTTTGTTTATTTATTGCGAAACGTTAAATTTCACCCGATTTTTTAATATAAAGATAGTGCCAAATGCCAATCTTAGACGGATCAGTAATTAACGTTAAATTGCGAATATATATATACGTAAAAGTCCATTCGAAAATATTCTCTTACGTGCTTTTGGGTACTTATCATAAAGCTTAAATTGCAAATAAAAGTATATATATCTTAAAATCTTATAAAATGAATACAAACCGAAAATTTTGTTCGCTTAAATAAATTAATAGTTGAAAAATACTAATGTCTTTGTCTTGATCTCGCAATCGCCTATTAAAGAGATTTAAGACAATTAAAAGTCCACTCGAAAATCTTGTCTTACGTGCTTTTGATTTATTAAGCTTAGTTTCGATTTCTTTGTCTTCATTTTCTGCTGCTTTGTTATATGCAATATGATTTTCTCTTTCAGCAGCAATTTTATATAACTCAAACGCGTTCATTTTATTAATGTCAATTCCAATTCCTTCATTATAACAGTTACCAAGCTGATATTGTGCATTTTTACACCCTTGCTCAGCTGATTTATGATATAATTCGAAAGCTTTTCTTTCATCTTTAGTTACGCCCTCCCCATTTTTGAAGCAATTACCTAAATCATATTGTGCAAATTTATTTCCATTTGTCGCTGCCCTTTGGAAATAATTAAATGCTTTTTCATAGTTTTGTTTTGTCCCAGTTCCAAAATAATTGTTAATCCCAATCCGTCTTAATCCTTCAAAATAAATTAATTTATGAAATTTAATTTTCGTACCTCTATCCTTTTTAATACGATTGATTTTTTTATTATAATATCGTTCAAAAATAATTTTTGCGATAATATTTCCATTATTAGCTGCTTTTTCATACCAATAAAAGGCTTGTTTTTTATTTATTATTGTTCCAATTCCATAATAAAAACAATTCCCAAGTTGATGTTGAGCATCAGAGTTTCCTTTTTTTTGCTAATGTCTCATAATATTTAAAAGCTTTAATTTCATTTTTTTCAACTCCGTTTCCTAATTTGTAACAATTTGCAAGGTAAAGTTTTGCTGTCCCATTTCCATTTTTAGTTGCTTTTTGATACCACTCAATAGATTTGGTTTCATTTTTTTCTGTTCCAATACTAAATTCGTAACAGTATCCTAAATAAAACTGTCCAATGATGCTTTTGTTTTCTACAGCTCTTTGATACCAATTGAATGCTAGATTTTTATTTTGTTGTGTTCCATATCCATCATTATAACATTTGGCAAGATAAACTTGTGCTATTGAGTAATTATCATTTGCTGCTTTAAAAAACAATTCAAACGCTTTATTGTCATCTTTATTTACTTCAATTTCGTAATAATACAATAATCCAAGAAACCAAACATATTGTATTATTGATTGATTTTTTATGAGCCAATTTATGAGAATATCTACTGTTTGATTTAATTGATTTAATTGTGATATTTTTTGATCAATGAAACGTTGAATCTTGTCAAAAGTATAACCTTGATCATGTTTCTTAATTATAACTATTATTAATTTATCAACAATTGTTTTATAAAATGTTGAATCAAAAGAATCTACTGATATCAATGATATTGATGAATTATTATTAGTATCTATTATCATCTGATTTTGTGAAATTAAGTTATTATTAATATCTATATTATTAATGTTTAATCCATTATTTGATAATATTAATTCATTATTTAAATCTATGGTTCCTTTGTTTGATTCAGTATATATTTCCAATGAATGATTATCCTCTTCTTCGTTAATAATAGTTTCAATAATTTTATCACGTTGTTCAAAAGAAATCATTGTTTTAAGTTCTGAAACAACATTTCGCATATTTGGACGTTCATTTGGTTCGTATTTCCAACATCCTAATAATGTAAATGATCATTAATAATTAATATCTATTATAATAGTATTTGTATGGTTACTTAAAAACAAATATTATTTTTCATTTTACCTGTATATAAATTGCTATATTTGACAGGAGTACCATCAATAATTTCTTCTCTCCCACCATTTATTATAGATAAGATCAAACGTCCATCGTAATTGGTGCATTTTGTAGATTTTGAAAAAAATGGTAGATATCCACTTGAAATTTGCCAAATTAAAATTCCGACGCTATATACATCAGATTTTTTATTCAATTTGTAATTTAGACCTTTATCTAAAGCTTTTGGATCCATATAAGGTATCGCACCGAATATTTTTGATGGATTACTAGATGAAGAAATTTTTCTTGATAAACCGAAATCTGCAAGTTTTATCTTTTTCTGGTGTATAAATATATTATCTGCATGCTATAATAATTATGTTAGTATTAATTAGATTTTACAAAAACCAATAAATCAGGATTAAAAATTGTTACCAGATCGCAATGGATAATATCACATTCGTGCATACATGCTACTGCGCTGGCTAGTTGCAACGCTAACTGGTATTTATCATTCCATTCAAGCTCATTAAAATGTTCATTTAAGTAAGTTGTTAATGTGCCACTGTCTGCATATTCTAAAACCAGCGAGTATGTTCGAGTTACATCTGAACACAAATCAAAATAAATTGTCTCTATTAAAAAGATTTGTTTAATAATAATATAACACAATACACTATAGAATTACCAGTTTCTTCTACTTTTGTGATTCCATAGAATCGTAAAATATTTTCATGAAAATCAACTCTCTTATGTAATTTTATCTTTAAATAAATTAAAAATTAGATTAATAATTATATAAAAAAATATATATATCATACATTATATGATGATGATTCCTTATACCTCGTTAACAACCCCTTTTAACGTCGTTTTATCGTTATTAAACTTTTTTATAGCGAAAATTGTATCAGTATTTTTCCAATTAGCACGTAAGACACTTCCAAATGAACCTTTTCCTATTGGTTGGAAATTATTGAAGTCTGAAAATTCATAATATATAATATGTTCTTGATTAATTGATTTTTCTAACCAACGGTGAAATATTGGATTGGTTTCATGGTTTGTCATTTTTTTTATTATTATTAGATTAAGGGAGTAAAAGGAAGAAAGAAAGAAATATTCACCCTTGATCGACACTTTCATTTAATGCTTTTAAGTTACACTACATAGTACTCGTGGCGAAATCATCGAAACTGGTAATTAATGAATGTAGTGAATACTTATTTGTTATGCATTTGATGCATTACAGCATTCAAGTTAATGTCACGATCAAAGATCTTGGCGGAAATCTATGATTTACGTAAACTAATTTAGTTTAAGCTTTAGAATTAGTGGGAGCCAACTTTATTTACCCCAGTTTTATTTACCCCAATTTTATTTACCCCAATTTTATTCACCCCAATTTTATTCACCCCAATTTTATTCACCCCAATTTTATTTACCCTTTTCCTTACATTTTTTTAAAACGTTAGTTATTTGGTTTTTCAGGTGTAGTCGTATAGTTTAAAAAAAAAAAAAAATTATTGGTTGTCATATCATATGATATTTTTTTTCGCCTCCGCGAAAAATTTGAAAATATTATCAAACCTAATATCTTTTATGAAATAATAAAATTAACCAAAAATTCAGTAACGCACGCACTTTTTTTAGAGATTGCTCTAAAAAAAATCTGACCGGCTTAACCGGTTAATTAACAGGTCAACATTATAACTGAAATCTTCTTGGCCGCAGAGTTTACATATTTAGCTATTGGGGAATTATATTTCATTAATGCCGTTATCAATAAATAAAAAAAAAAAATATTCGATTTTAAATTTTTTGTAACACGTGACCACAATTACATGATTGTCCTTATAACAGTCAGACTTGTCAATAATCACCACTTTCGGTAAAAGTGATAATAGGTTATAATAGATAGGTGTGATTATATAGTGAACTTCATATCTAATCACAGTATGTAATAAGATTATATTATGATTTGTTATGATTGTATGCAGCTTTTTTTTAGATGATATTTTCAAAAAAAAATCCGAAAATTTTATTTTACTAATTAGATTTTAAAATTATAATCCTGGCTGGCACTATGTATTTGGCCCAATTTTAACTTATTATAAAATAATTGTCATGTGATATGTGATTATAGATAGTTTATTTTATAATAAGTTGGACCTAAATTTTTCTTTTATACCGGTGACAGTGATTAGCAAATGATAGTGATTAGTGATTAGCATATGATAGTGATTATAAAAGGGTATTTGTCGTGACATTAAAATTCGGTGATAATAGACATGATGTGATTATATATGAGGTGATTATAGACAGTTGCGAAAACCACTATCAAGATCTGCATAAACATTTCATTTAAATCACACAAATACATAATCATTATTGTTTAGGTATTACCGTAAAGTCCCGAATATAAGCACCCCCGGATTTTTATATTACCCGAAAGTAAGCACTATGATAATTTTGGCCAATACTACAATATACCAAATATATAAATTTACCCAAATATAAGCACCTATAACAAAAAAAGGTTGCGACTTTACGGTAGTAATGTTTTAGCTTCATTTTAAACGCAAGATGTTAAAAAAGAGAACTAATGGATTTTTGAGCGTGGAAAATTTATTGGTTTTATGAACGAACCATTTCAGAAAAAACAGGCTATAGTAAAACTACTATACATAATATAATAACAAAATATCGCGAAAAAGGTGCTATTACCGTTGCTTCCCGAAGCAAGTGAACGCCCAAAAAAGTTGACTGAACGGGATAAACGACACCTTAAGGCCATTGTTACCAAAAACTGGCGTAAACCTGTGGAAAAAATAAGAGAAAATTTCAATGAATCTACTGGTAATAATGCATGTAGGTGTACTATGCAGCAAAAATTATATGAAATGGGCTATAACAGTTGTACAGCCCTTAGAAATCCTAGTATTAGTGAAAATAATCGAAAAATACGAATACGTTTAAATTGGGCTCGTGGAAGACGTTTATCGACCATAGATGATTGTAAAAAAAATAGTATGGAGTGACAAATCTCGATTTACTATGTTTCAAAATGATGTAAAAATTTCGGTTTTGCCTCCGGGAGGAAAAATATAACGTTAATTGCCTTGTTCCGACAATGAAGCATGGAGGGGGTATGTGGGTGGTTTTCATGGTTTATTAGGACCTTTAGTAAGAATTGATGGTCGAGTTGATAGCACAAAGAAATACGTGATCCATTTTTTTATAGAGCTAAATGGTGATTATCTATTCAAACAAGATAATGCACCCATTCATACAAGCGCGAGAACAAGAAATTTTCTAAAAGAAATGGGAATAAATTTATTATAATGGCCAGGACAAAGCCCAGATCTCAATCCTATTGAGCACTTTTGGGATGAACTTTGAACGGCGTATACGGGAAAAACCAAACAAACCAAAAATTTAGGAGAAGTGGAGGCACTTCTTCAAGAATGTTGGTCTGAAATTTCACATGAGGTTTACCAAAAGCTTGTAGAGAGCATGAATCGTAGAATAGAAGCAGTAATAAAAGCTTGTGGTTATCCCACCAGGTACTGAGGAATGTTTTATTATTACTTATAATTTTCACCAAAAATTAAGCATTTTTATTAAAAAACTTTATCAATATTGTAGTTTTAAATTTTATGAAGTTACAAGCTGGGAATTTCTTTTTGTTATGTTGTACATAATAAGAATTTTATTTAAAAAGAGTTTTATATTTTATTTTTTAACGATTTTTTTTTTCTCTCGAAGAATCACGTGATATAAAACAATGTCACGGGACTATGCGAAACATTAAATGCTAATAAATGTTTTGTAATAATAAAAAAATTATTCTTTATTAAAGTATACATAATTTTTTACGGCTTATTAAAATATTGATTAATTAGAAAAAGCCATTTTTTCTACAATTTACCGGGTGATCCTAAACTTTTTGCGCGAGAATGCATTCAGTAAAATTTATGGTCAAATTAGTTTTAACCGGTCTCTCCCATTTGTTATGGCAATGTGGGATATTGGTTCAAATAAAGTAATAAATGATTTAGTTAAGACATTATAAGCGAATTGTGAAAAAGTCATTGTAATAAAAAAAAGAGCGTCCTTAACCTAGACCCCCGGTTCAGGATCATTATCCTAGACCCCCGGGGTTCAGACAAAGCAAGCTAGACCTCCTTCTTTTTTTAGTAAAAAATTAATTACCAAAATTGTACCTTATTTTTTTAAATAAACATTTTTTTATCGTACACTTTTCTTACCGACTACCAAAAAATTGGCTAGCGAAATAAAATATTATTATATTTATACTTAGGATGCTATAACATAAATATGCCAATTTAAAGTGATACGGTATTTCTTTTAGTCTTCAGAACTCTATTAAATTTTTTTTAGTTTTTTTCTTTTGAGAGCGATGACTAACAAGCACATTTGTTTGAACCTTTATATTTACAATAAAAGAAGACGAATACTGCTTAATAGAACATTTTTCTTTTAAGATTCAAGAGGTATTTTAAATAAATTTTAATGGAATTTGTAGATTATACTATTTATTTACATACGTTAAATTTCTTGGTGCTGTTATAAATTTTTGGGATATAACACTTTTAATTATCTTATTCTCTCCTCTTGGGCTGTGAGTTGGTTTCAAAAAGTGGTTTAATTTTTCTTGAGTATTTTTTATTTTTTATATTAATTATTTACTTGGTGTATTTGAAAATAGTGTAATAAAGAAAATATATTTTGGTAAAATATAATGCATTGATTAAACATAATTACAATACATTGAATAAGTAAAATTACGTATTACTATCTTTATGAACATAAAATCCAAATTCAACACTATCGTTCATAACATTTTTTGCCATATTTAAAGGAATACCTCCAAGATCCTCTGCAATAAGCCTAATCGCAGTTTCAGGTACCAAAACTTGGACTAAATACTGTGATGAGGATTGTGGAGCACAAAGGTTTTCGGTCAATATTCTAGGTTGAACAAACATTTCGATCAAAGTCTTTGAGATAACTTCTAAACCTTTAGGCCCGTAATATCCAGGCTAAAAATTGTGAATAAAATTTATTAAAATTAAATTAATAATATTAAACGAAAAAATGCCAATTTTAGACTTACTTGAAAAGATTCAAAATAATTGATTTGATATAATGGATGATCCACTTTTGATTTACCTATTTCTTGAATTCTTTTAACTGCATCTACACGAAATTCACTATAACGTTGACCTTTTATAATTTTTAGCAAATCTGACTTCAATTCTGTAATTCGATTAGGTAACTTTGCAAAATCTATATACAATGGATATCCTTTTTCAATCCCACAGGGAATGATTGTTCCTTCACCTTTATGAACTAGACAAAACTCATATTGTTCAACTATAGTACAAGCTGATTCTGTTATATAAATCAGAAAATTAAGTTAATCATTTTATTAAAGGGAATTTTATTTAAAACATTGTAATACTTACTTTTTCCCGTTGAGATATCATTTAAATACTCTGAAACTTTTGATGGTAATGGATTTGGTAAAGTTTCATCACAATAAGGACATTCAATATTTTTGTCTTGATCGTTTTCTTAATTTAATGATTTTTAAAATTAATGATATACTAACCATTAATATAAAGGATCAGATGCATGAACATTTAAAAATACACTTACCTAAATTTAATTTATTAGAAAGAAAATCAGGTTCGTCAAAATGTGGAACTTGAGGAGAAGGTAAAGTACAATGTTGTGAAAGTGTTGTAAGATTTTGAATTTCATGTAATGGTTGTATATTCTGTGTTATGTAAATTGGTTCACAATTATCAAAACCAATGTTTTCTGACATATTATTATTAGTATTTTCATCAGTTTTTTTCTTTTTTTTATTATTAGATTTATCAGTTAATTCTCCTGCACTTTTAATTCTCTTATTAGATGGACGACCTTTTCCACGAACTACTAAGGGATTTTTTACTGTTGGTATAATATTCAAAGTGTTGGATTGTACTTTGAATTGTGCTTTATTCAGATTTTCAACTTCAGAAGTAAATATTTCATTGAAAGAAATATATAAAGTTTTAGATATTATAGGATTTTGCGTTACAAATCGTTGTATCTTTTGTAATAATCGTGTAAGCATATATTGATGATTTTGATCTTGATCATCATTAGATTGATTGTTAGATAATTGTTGTGAAGTTGGTGAAGTTGAAAAATTGATATAAGCATTAATAAGATTTTCTTCACTTGGATTTTTTTTCCATCGTTCATAAAAAAGGCTAGTTGGAAGCTCTTTTAAATTTAATTGTACTGCAGTACGAAAAATATGTCGGCATATAAAACCTGAAAATTGAGTATATCCACAAGAACATGTAAAACAATTAGAATTAGAATTGTATTTTACAATTCTTCCATTTGTTTCTTTTTCAAATCTTTGAACTTGAAAAATTAATTCAGCATTATTTTCTTGACTGTATAAATGTAAATAAATTTATTACTATAAAATATAATTAATTACAATAATTGTATAATAAATATATAATACCTTGAAATATTTTCACAGCTATATGTAAAAGATTGCATCAGTTGTTCTTGAGTTTTTTTAAGTGAATAGGTAGTTAATATTGACGCAGCTTGACGTTCAAATGGACTTATAGTTTTGTATAAAACGTTAAAATTATCTTGTTGATATACATAAAATTCAGTTTTTTCTATTTGCGCGTCTAATGCTGATTGAAATGCAGTAATAAATGTCAATAAAGATGTGCTTGCATCTAAGTAACCTTTCATCATATTATTCATAGACTCTCCACGTTGCGTGGTAGTCATATCAGCCATAAATACATTACAATTAAAGCAAGCTGCCCACTTTTCTTTTGTTTTTTCCATTCGTGATAAATAAGTTGATGCAAGTGGATAAGATGTTTTAATCACATCCCATTGAGAGAGAAATTTTGAAATATCCATTTCTCCAAAGCATTTATAAAGGTCATTTATAAATGATGTCCATTTATTACCAAGTTTCGCAGATAAATTTTTCATAACATTTTTCATTAAATGCCATTGACATAAGCGATGCTTTGTACCTAATGGTCGCAAAACTTTTGAGTAAGCATTAGCCATTGCACGATCATCATCAGTAAGAATAACTAACGGTGCATGCTGATTAACCATTTCAAGGAATTTGGTAAATACCCAAATAAAATTATCTTCTGTTTCATCAATCATCAGCGCGCCGGCAAAACATATACTATGCCCATAGTTATTTACTCCCGTAAAAATACCAAATGGCATTTGAAAGCGATTTGTCTTATACGTATTGTCAAATACCACTATATCATTAAATCTACTATAATTAATACGTTGTTCAGGGAACATCCAAATTACACGCTCTAATCTTTGTGTATTATTATTAATATCTATATAATAAAAAAATTCGTCATTATCATATTTAAATTGCTCTAATACTTTTATAAACTCTTCAGCGTCAAATTCCTTCTTTTCTGAACCAGAACCTTCCAATTGATAGATAAAGTTATAAATATCATTGTATACCCATGTAACACAATCACCAAACTCCTCTTTTAAAATTGCACGTATAGTTGGAACATCTACACCAGCACGACGTAATAATGCAATTCGTTGCTTAACATCATCAGGAATATTCCGTTCATTAGACATGAAAAATCGATGGTATTCATCAACCATTTGATGATTATGAGTAAGGTTCATGTTAATAATATACCATAAACCATTGGAACTATCCAAAGAAGCACGAATATAAAAAGAACAGTTACAACGTTGAGATTTTCGATTTCGTTCTTTGATATTTGAGTTTTCATTATCTAAAATATATTCCTTTGGCTCAGAACAACCAGCTCTAGAGCATAATAATGTTCTTTTTCGAAGTTTTTTTGTTATATTCTCTTGTTCTTTAGTATTTTTATTTTTGGTAGTATTTACATATTCAACCTTTCCAAGTCTAATAACAAAACCAAGATTACGTGCATAACTTTTAATTTTATTAACAAACTCATCATGATTTTTGAAATTATCGCCAACTTGAGGTTGATAAGTTTGGGGGGAGGTCAAGTCTTTAGTCATACTGTGGCTCTATTATATTTTACTACGATATATGGAAAAACTTTTAGGAAAAACTTTATTCCGAAAATACTGCGGAAGACTTCGTGTAAACTTTTACGCGTAATTTTTTTTTATTATATAAATAACCAATAATAACTGTAAATACTGTATATGGAAATAAATCTTCTTTCCAAATTAAGTTATAGGTCTAGGATAATAAACCTGAACCCCCATGGTCCAGAATAATTGACTTGAACCCCCGGTCTAGGTTAAGTTTTCTCTAAAAAAAAAGAAAAAAAAATTTAATTTCAAAGTCACGTGAAAAATTTTGCTTACTACTGTATTTACTATTTAAATATAAAAATTAAACTATCACTTTTTCTAATTATGATGAATCAGAAATATCGTCAAATGCTTTTTTTTTAGCTAATTTAAAAAAAAAGTAGAAATTATAACTAATCTAAAATATGCAATAAATGCCGCTTTAAAAGAGTTGAAAAAAAGGTTAAATGCTCTAAGGCGCCCTAACTGTCCGTCAGGCGGAGGAAGTTAAAGACTAGTATATTATAAAATTCGTCGATGTTTAGTTTATACATATTGTACATAATGTGATTTCCAACTTTAACTAGGCTACATAGAATCACGTGTCACAGCACATGCGAATTTATATAGGACCCATGAATATAACCTAATACGTGATGGATCTTAGGATCTATTGAGTAATTATCATCTCTCAATCTTTGCCTACTCATCTATTGAAATAATAAAAATAACCCAAGAAACAAATGATATTATAATATTAATAATTTTTTTTATAATGAAATTGTCTATTTCTTGATTTAATTGATTTAATTGTAATACTTTTCGATCAATTAGTCGTTGAACTTGATTAAAATCATAATCTCGATAACGCTTTTTAATTGGAATCATTATTAATTTTATAGGTGGAATTAATTTATTAAATATCGGACCAAAATAATCTACCAATACTGATCTTCTTGTTGAATTATTACTAGAATCCGTTATCATCCGATTTTTTGAATTTATTTTATTATCAATATAGATATTTTCAATATTTAATCTTCTATCATTTGATATTATTAATTCGTTATTTAATTCTATGGTTCCTTTGTTTGATTCAGAAATTGTTCCATATTTTACTAATAAATTATATTCCTTTTTATTAGTAGTAGTATCAATAATTATATTATATTCAGAAGAAATTATTGTTTTAAGTCCTAAAACAACATCTTGCATATTTGGACGTTCATGTGGTTCATATCTCCAACATTCTAATAATATAAATTATTGTGAATTATAAATATAACTTCTATAAAAACAAATAGCTTCAATTTATTACCTTACCTATATATAAATTACTATATTTAACGGGAGTGCCATCAATAATTTCTAAACGTTCATCATGATTAGAAAATGGTAAATATCCACTTGAAATTTGCCACATCAAAATCCCAACGCTATATACATCAGATTTTTTATTCAATTTGTAATTTTGACCTTCGTTTAAAGCTTTTGGATCCATATAAGGTATTGCACCGAATATTTTTGATGGATCACTAGACGAAGTAATTTTGTTTGACAAGCCAAAATCTGCCAATTTTATCTTTTTCTGATGTATTAATATATTTTCCGCATGCTATAGTAATAATTATGTTAATATTAATAAATTATTTTATACAAAAATCAATAAATCAAAAGTTATAAATTATTACCAAATCACAATGAATGATATCGCATTCATGTATACACGCTACTGCACTGGCTAGTTGCAATGCTAACCGATATTTATCATTCCATTCAAGCTTATTAAAATGCTCATTTAAGTAAGTTGACAATGTACCACTATCTGCATATTCTAAAATCAGTGAGTACGTTCTAGTTGCGCGTGATTGACCTGAATAAGAAATTTATCTTATTAAAAAAGAATCATTTACGCATGATACACTGACGGTAAGACTTACCAGTTTCTCCTTTTGTGATTCCATAGAACCGTATAATGTTTTCATGAAAATCAACCCTTTTTTGTAATTTTAACTTTAGAAAAATTAAAAATATTAGTTAATAATTACCAAAAAGTCATATATCAGCATATTTATATTTTATTATTACTATGATTTTAATACCTCGTTCACAACCTCTTTTATCGTTTTATTATCATTAAACTTTTTTATAGCAAAAATTGTATCATTATTTTTCCAATTGGCACGAAAGACGCTTCCAAATAAACCTTTTCCTATTGGTTCTAAATTATTGAAGTCTGAAAATTCATAATATATAATATGTTCTTCAGCAATCGATCTTTCTAACCAATCCCGTGATTCGTTTTCATAATCTGACATTTTTCTTGGAATTTTTATTAATATTTTTTTTTTTTTTGGTTTTTATTAGGTTTATAAAGAGAGAAGAAATTTAATTTATTTCTCATTTACTAACACTATTTAATAATAGTTATTAAGTTAGTTACACTACATACTCGGGGCAAAATTGTTATGCTTCTTGACCAAATAGGGTTAGTAATTCAGTCACCGGACATGTCCACCCTAAATAAACATTTGTTGATCACTTGCAAAATAATCATTTATAACAAATAAGGGGAAATTGTTGAACATATTTGTATTTTAAGTTTGTATCATTCAATGGTTCAAAGAAATTTCTTCCAAATTTAGATGCTTTCGTGTTAAAAAAGACTGAACGGTACATTATTTGATATATTTTAACACACATATTAATCAAATTTCTGCAAAAAAAAATTTTTCATTTAACCACATATGTATAGTTTAAGCACTATTCATTGTTAAATGAAATATTATTTTACAGTTAAAAAGTGTTTGTCATGATATTAATAGTTATTTTTATAAAAATTTATTTTTTTTTTACTAAAAATAATGATCAGAAAAAAAGTGTAGCACACTAAAACATTAAATGCAGCTATTACTGTATTCAGATCAAAAAAGAGAAAGTTGAAAGATAATAAGTATTTAATAACCGTTATTACTTTTTATCCCCTAAAAATTTCGGAATATTTATTTATGACGTATAATATTATTATAACACGTAAGGACCGAAATTTATCCATTATTGACCTGTCTTATTAAAGTTATATTAAAGTAAGATTTCATTTTTTAAATGCGTCATTTGTAGAGCGCATGACAGTCTATCAAATTACTTAATTAGCATGTAAACGAAAATTCTAATCAGACGTAAATAGAGTATAGCAACTACAAATAAAGGTAACACTAGCGAGATAACCTTAATTTAGAAGTAGAATTTAATACTAATAAAACTATATTAAATATAACAACTGTATTAATATACAGCATACTATGTCGGTCCAATCAACTTAATAAATATTCTATTACTAGATATGATGATTTTTGGAACATCATAACAATATCTGATATTTCATTAAAAGTATTTCATAGGCCAGAAAAAATTTTTCTCATGAATTTTAAATTATCGGATAATGTGGAATTGGGAATAATCATGATACGTAACCCTGTACCGGGTGTAACCATACGTAAGCTTACGTTATAAATTATAAAAACAAATTTATGCAAGATTACACCCCGTCGCCTAAAAAAATTTCCAGAATGCTAAGTACTTTAAATTTAAATAATTAAGTTTAGTATAATAAATATTAAATCATATTTTTTCAAAATAAGTTTAAATTAATTCATATTTTGTATACTGTAAAATAATTTTCTTGTCGATATATTTGATTTTATGATTTTTTTAAAATTTTTTGTTTTCAATTCTTATTTTACAAATTGCAATATATTTTAATCATCATTTTTCATTTACAAAATTGAAGTTTCATCAATTAAAATCATTTGTAGATTTTCTTTTGGTCATCTTTTCTATTAACATATCAATCTTCTAATGTTTTATATTGACCAAAATAATAAATACGTTTCGTTGGTTCACGATTTTGAAAATGAGTATGATGGACGCTTCATAATCTGCTATAAGATTCGCCCAATGTCTTAACAAATTTTGCTTACTTTTTAGTTTGTGTTGCTTTTATACACGCCACAAAACAAAAATTTAATTGCCCAAAGCGAAGGGAGTATACAATATAAAAAATTTCAGTTACACGGTAGTACAAGAATTTTCCAATCACATCGTATCTTGATTAGTACAACGCCCATCTGTTTTTTGCGTTATAACAAATTTGAGTATTAATGTAAAATATTTCCTGTTATGGAGTAACGTAATAAATCATGTAACCTCCACTTTGATAATCTACGTCACCTATTTAACTGATAATGGCATAATCTTGAATGTTATAACTGCGGAATTTGGTATGACAGGAATGACATCTATAGATGTGCATGAATGTAGGTTATACGCATTTTGTCTGTGTAAGGCCGTTCCAACTTGATTATTTGTTTAACGTCCACCACCCCCCTCTATTTTTTTAAAAATTTGAGATCTAATAAACACTTATTATTAAATACCCCCTCTATTTTTGAAAAAATTTAAAAGCTAATAAACATATAATGATAAATAATCCCTTCTGAAATTTTCAAATTTTCCTATGTTTATTTATTTAGTTTGTTTAACTTAAGCCCCCCTAACCCCTTAATTTTTTCAAAAGGCCTGGACGTTAAACAAACAATTAGGTTGCAACAGCCTAAGTTCTGCATCTTATACTAATAAATCGTTAACAAATACCATTTAACAACAACAACAAAAAAATGTTATAACTGCGGAAGAGGAGGATAATTTACTGCGGCAATTGCGTACACAAATTTTTATGTATTACAAAAAATGTTACCCTATAAAAAAAATTTTGGAAAAATCTCCGATAAATGATCATTTTTCTAGTTTTTATTCTGGAGAAACTAAGACATGTGATCAATTTTTTGAAAATTTTTTTATAGGGATCGTTCTGAAATAAAGAAATTTTTTTTTTTAAAAAAAAAAAATAGTTTATTTTAAAAGAAAAATCATTTGGCTTTATACATACAAGATAAGATCTCACTTATATAGACCACTATATCCCAATCAAAAAGAGGTGTATTCAAATGTTGACGGTGAGAGACTGATATGCCAAACCGTCATGAAATTTCAGCACTTTCATCTATTTAGATATAGTTGAAAAATTGTGGTAAAGACTTGTTCTACGAAAAATATGAGTGATTGAAAAAAGTTAGAACAAAAATGCTAAAAAGAGAATATTTATCGCCTTCTTCAAATCTAAATAACACAATTGATTTCCAAAATTTGTGATTATCAGCAATCTTATTGAACCATTATTTAAAAAAAGACTGATTCCTGGAGGAAATATTGGTGAACCCTCAATTCTTCACGTTAAAATTTGTGTAACATTAATGTTTTAAACAAGGAAACTACTAGAAGAATCGCTAGTAATCAGTCTTTTTGGTTTCAACTGATGATAATCACGAATTTTTGAAAACCTTATTTTAAGGGTGATCTTATTTTAAGGGTGTTACTTATAGGTCGCAACTAATTTGAAAAGGCGACAAATCCGATCAAATGATCATTTTTAAGTGAATAAAACTATCCGTTCAACAAATTTTCAATCGGGTTTACAGTAACAGATATATCCGGCAGATCAATGGATTGCGGAACTGTTTACAAATTCTACTAAAAGAAGAGACACTCAAAATAAAAACATTAACCCGTTTACTAAACGCATTTGTGTATTCAAGTTGAGTTAAACTCTCGAGACAAGAGAATTTTTTAACTCGAACCATATAGAATCACATGATATTATTAACGCCGGCCAACAGTTGGCCAACGCTATTGTAATTTCAGTTAGCACTAGCCTTATTCCGGACACATTCAATTTCAAAAATAACATATATTACTATGGATTTTTTTTTATCGCTACGGCGATATATCGCTAGTCCTCAAATGTCATGTGTTTAGACTATTATCATGTGATTAGTTTATTGTTATTTTTATTAAAGCAAAGCAATGATAACAAGAAGTAGGTTTAACTCCCTTTCGAGGGTATATATCCTGTTTAATTGTTTATCCTAACTTCACATAAAATAAATAAATTAATTAATTAAAGCAAAGCAATAACTATACAAATTAATTATTAACAATTATTAACATATTACTATTATCTTTCTATTGATACATTCTTTCGATTAATACATTTTTTCTATTGATACATTATTTCTATTCATGCATTCTAATTAATTATTCCTGACATTAAATTTCTTGTTCCTAGTTATAGAAATAAAATTTAATGTAACTTGTGTAAGAAACCATAATATTTACATATGCTATAGCCGGATCAGAATCAGTGATAATAACAACTGGTCGAATTCCAGTAGCTTCAACAATATTATTGAACATCCAAATATGCGAATCAAGACTTTCATCAATCAATAGTCCTTGAGCAAGTATCAAATTTTTTCGATCATTATTAAATCCAACAATTAAAGACAACGCCATACCATAGCGATTAGTCTTATGAGTAACATCATTTATAACACAGTCAGAATATTTCACCCAATTCTCAACTTGATATGGCGTCATCCAAGACAAATGAGTTAAAGTATTATCTTCATCCAAACCACGAAATATAAGCCAACGAGAATCAATTTCCTTTTGACTATCAAGCCAATTAGAAAGTTTAGCTGCATCATTTAATAATGATTCCTTTGTAGGTCAAAATCTTTGAATAGTGTTGTAAAGTTCTCATAAATAAAGTGGGTGGGTTGGATATTTCCCCTCAAGGAATTTTCTTTGTACTGTAGCTCCAAACTTACAAGAAACTGTCATAAATTTGATATCTTCGATCATTGAATCAGTAAATTTTCTAGAATCTTCAAATTCAACTATTGATACATCTAAAGGATGGTTATATTGTTCAACTATCTTATTAATAATCACATATTCCTCAGGGGTTTTCAATTTTGGGCATGATGCATTAACAACAAACGGACAACCAATTTTTTTTGTAACAGTGTCTCTAGTAGAATTTGATTCATAGGTACGACTGTGAGAACATATATATGTGTGATGACGGATGATACGTTCCAAATATACTACACGATCCTTAATAATCCGAAAGCCCTGCTACTTGGCCCACATGATAATAAAATTTTCACAAGCTTCCCATGATTCAAACTTCCTTTCCGAATACAATAATGTATGGTGATTCTCATTAGACAAGATCATTTCGTTACCTATATTATTGCAATCATCTAAAAAAAAATAAATAAATAATTAGTAAATTATAAAGTCCACATTACTAACACTAACCCACTATCCTAATCTAACCCTAACCTTAATCCAAACCCTAATCCAACATACCCTAACCCTAACCCTAACCCTAACCTATACATACCATATGTAA